ATATATGGGAGCTATATCCAAATCTGAACCGATTTCGATAAAATTTAAAACAGCTATTCCTGTGCTCCATCTAATACCTGGTACCAAATATCACGGTTATGGAGTGAACATTACGAATGTAAGGGACTAAAACACTAAATCGGATGAAACATATATATGGTTGCTATATCTATGAACCGATTTTCACTAAATTTGATATACTTGCTTCTAGGCTGAATTTGGTCCGATGTACTAAAATTCAGTCCATTTGGACTTATATCGGCCATTTGGTGCACAATTAACCCGAAATCGGATGAAGATATATATGGGAGCTATATCCAAATCTGAACCGATTTCGATAAAATTACAAACAGCTATTTCTGGGCTGTACCTTATATCTGGTACCAAATATCACGGTTGTGGAGTGAACATTACGAATGTATGGGACTAAAACACTAAATCGGATGAAACATATATATGCTTGCTATATCTATATCTGAACCGATTTTCACTAAATTTGATATACTTGCTTCAAGGCTGAATTTGGTCCGATGAACTAAAATTCAGTCCATTTGGAGCACAATTAACCCGAAATCGGATGAAGATATATATGGGAGCTATATCCAAATCTGAACCGATTTTCTCCAAATTTGTTGTATTTACTTTAAGGCTAATCTCGGTCACATGTGCCAAAATTCGGGCCATTTGGGCTGATATTGGCCATTTGGTGGTCAATTAACCCGAAATCGGATGAAGATATATATGGGAGCTATATCCAAATCTGAACCGATTTCGATAAAATTACAAACAGCTATTTCTGGGCTGTACCTTATATCTGGTACCAAATATCACGGTTGTGGAAAGAACATTACGAATGTAAGGGACTAAAACACTAAATCGGATGAAACATATATATGCTTGCTATATCTATATCTGAACCGATTTTAACTAAATTTGATATACTTGCTTCTAGGCTGAATTTGGTCCGATGTACTAAAATTCAGTCCATTTGGGCTGATATTGGCCATTTGGAGCACAATTAACCCGAAATCGGATGAATATATATATGGGAGCTATATCCAAATCTGAACCGATTTTCTCTAAATTTGTTGTATTTACTTTAAGGCTAATCTCGGTCACATGTGCCAAAATTCGGGCCATTAGGGCTGATATTGGCCATTTGGTGGTCAATTAACCCGAAATCGGATGAATATATATATGGGAGCTATATCCAAATCTGAACCGATTTCGATAAAATTTAAAACAGCTATTTCTGTGCTCCATCTAATACCTGGTACCAAATATCACGGTTGTGGAGTGCATAGTAGGAATGTGAGGGACTTTAAGATCAAATCGGATGAAAAATATATATGGGAGCTATAGCTATATCTGAACCGATTTTCTCAAATTTTGATATACTTGCTTCTAGGCTGAAGTCGGTTGGGTGTGCCAAAATTCAGGTAATTTGGACTGATAGTTGACATTTGGTGCTCATTTAACCCGAAATCGGATGAAGATATATATGGGAGCTATATCTAAATTTGATCCGATTCTCACCAATTTCAATAGGGTTCGTCCTTGGGACAAAAAAATATTGTTTGGAAAATTTCAACTCAATCGGATAATAAATGCGACCTGCATTTTGTTCACAAGAATACATGGACAGACGGACGGACGGACGGACGGACGGACGGACGGACAGACGGACGGACATGCATAAATCGACTCAGAAAGTGATTCTATGAAGGTTCTCAAAAGTAACTATGGGTCTATCTCGTTTCCTTCTCCATGTTACAAACAAATGCACAAAGACATAATACCCTTACCACTATGTGGTGTAGGGTATAAAAAGTCTTCACGATTGTCATATGAAGCATTGGGAAATAGAACTATTAAATTTAAATCCATTTAGACCATGTAGACCAAGGCCTACATAATGTCGGACAGGAAGACTATTTTTGACAAATATTGAAGCGAAAAATAGTAGTTTTTACGCCAGAGTGATTTTATTTTAAATCACAATATTTATTTTGACAGCAAACTTAGTTATCAGATGGGCTTACTGAGCGACCTCTATCCCACACCCAATGGCACATTTTGTGGCATTTTGCACTTTTCGTACCTTCATAGTACACATTTCTGAAACCACCTCCATATCTTAAGCACAGACACTAACGGTGACATTTATATCATATTTACGGATTTAAGCTCTATTCCTTAACCCAATACCAAATTTAGTACTTATAGGACACATTTCGCCAATTGTGAAACACAGATACCATCAGTAATATAAATATCAAATTTAAGAAATCTATCCCTATCCCCTCACCCAATCCCAAATATAATACCATTCGGTATTTTCCGTATATACATATTTCCGAAACCACCTTCATATGTCCTGGGTACACATGAACAGCGATTTTAATACCAAATTTAAGATTTCAAGCACTATCCGTTCACAACATGCAAATGTACCAAATAATGTAACATTTAGTGTTTTTTGTAAATTTGTTATACACATATCCAAACCACCTCTTTATTACAAACCCACCACTAACAGGAAACACAATACAAAATTTCAAAATTCCAGCTTCATTGATTCAAAATAAATCAAACTGTTCCAAATTTTAATAGCATTTGGTAGAGTTCGCAGACTGAGTATAAATTTCCAAACCCACCTTCATATATCAAATTTATTTTCCAACCTTGTTTCTTACAGCGAATTTCAAGTTTTTACCTCCATCCGTTCTCATAATGCCAAATGGTACTATTTTAGAAGTTTAGTCACATTTTAAAGTACGAATTTCCAAAAACCCTTTGTACAGGGTGAGATGGAAAAATTGTAACCAACTTCAGGCTGCTGTAATTTCTAAGTCACTCGTCCGACAGCTGTTAAAATTATTCCAGTGACAGCTCGTTATATTGTTTACAAGCGTACAAAAGCATTTGGTGAGAATTTTACAGAAAAACAAGTAAAAAAGCAGTAAGTTCGGCCGGGCCGAACTTTGAATACCCTCCACCATTTAGACCGAATTTGAAAATTTTCGATAAAGATAACATTCGCCAAAAATTATGTTAACATTTTAAAAATACCGAATACAGCCGTTATATTAGGGCCTGTACGACGTGCACCTACATAGGCATTGTTTGTCACAAGCCATTACCATATTCAAATTCGAAACTTGAAATAAACGGTGAATAATGTAGCCAAAATCATCAAAATACCGTACATAGGGAGGTACCGTTATATAGGAGCTATACGAAGACCTGGACCTGCATAGAAAATTTTCTATCACAGGCTGTAGCTTCCATTACGAACTTCAAATACGACATCTCAAACAATTTCGGTGAGTATTGTACCTAAAATCATCAAAGTACGGAATATAAAGAGGTACTGATATATGGGTCCTATACGAAGACCTAGACCTGCATAGGCAATTTTCTGTCACGGACTGTAGATCCCATTACGAACTCTAAATACGTAATTTGAAAATAATACGGTGAATATTGACGCTAAAATCATCAAAATACCGAATATTGGGAGGTACTATTATATAGGGGCTATACGAAGACGTGGACCTACATAGATTATTTTCTGTCATAGGCTGTAGTATCCATTACGAACTTCAAATACCAAATTTGAAACAGTTCCGGTGAATAATGTCGCTAAAATCATCAAAATACCGAATATTGGGAGGTACCGTTATATGTGGGCTATACGAAAACGTGAACCTACATTTACGAACTTAACCTGCCTACGTACTAGGAAGTAGACGGAGAGGAACAGCAACATCAGCAGAAATGGTTCGAAAAGTAAAGAAGTTACGTGAGCGAAACCCTCGTCGCAGTGGCCGAAAAATGGCTCGTGAGCTAAACATATCGCAATATTCCATTCGGCAAATATTGAAAAATGAGCTCGGGGTAAAGCCATTGAAATTCTAAAATGTGCAAGAACTTACACCGCAACAGAAAGAAAATAGACTCAAAAGAGCTAAAGAGTTGCTTCGCTTGGCCGAAAATTGTGAACTGCCGAATTTGGTTTTCTTCGATGAGAAAACATTCGCTGTACAGCAGTTTGTAAACAAACAAAATGATCGTTTTTACTTGCCAAAGAGGTCAGCTAAAAATGTGCATCTTCGGTTGGAAACTAGCGCTGGCCATGTTGATGGTGTGGGCCGCCATAACAGCCGATATTCGCCTTCCGCTCGTATTAATCGACTGTGGTATCAGAATAAATGCCGATTATTATCGCGAAAATATTCTGGAGGACGTATTAAAGCCTTGGGCATCCAAACATTTTGATCGCACACCTTGGACATTCAAACAGGACTCAGCACCATCGTGTTCAGTATGCGCCACCCAAGAATGGTTACAAAATGAGGTTCCTCGCTTCATTTCCAGAGCACAATGGCCACCAAAATCTTCGGATACCAATCCGTAGTATAGGTCTGCAATTCTAAAATATATCTACCAGATGTTATTTGCATTTTGTGCAGTGTAATGGTATGATCCAATATCTTGAAAATGTCAAAAATGTTCAATGGAATAGCTTCAGTGTCGCCTTACATTGTGTGTTTTTAATGGGAAATTTATAAATCCCATTTACTTCATTGTAGAGGATAAAGAATAAAGTCCTGTCCGAAAAGACCGAATTACAATTTTCACACCCCTTCGCTACGGTAGGTATAATCCATGTTTATAAGTGAGACATCTGAAATGTACTAGATAGCGTAATACGCATATGATAACAAATATCTCTTAGAATGCACTATTTTGGATGCAAGCTAAATGTATTAAAATTTAGGAATGAACCGAAAAATATTTGTTCCGCCACCACAATAATACAATAATTCACAACAAGTTTTCTTTGGATCAAAGGAAGCTTTGATTACAAATTCTAAGCACAAAAAATTGACTTGACGACGTACATGTTCAACAACGTAACATAAATCTTTCAAATTTCTTCGAAATATTTTTCTATAATTTTTATACTATTTAAAATATTTTTGAATCAATTTTACCTAATATGAGTTATTCCGTTAGAAAGTATTGGTTGTTCAGCTGTTTTTAAAGTTAAGAAACATACACTTTTCATACATAATATATTTGTACAGCAATTAGTTTGAGTAATTGTACACAATTTTATTTATTATTTTTAATTAATAATTAATTGTTTTATATTTTTGCAATAAAATTCTATATGATTTATTCAATAGCATAAATATTTTTAATATAATTTAAATATATATATTTTTTAATTTTTGTAATTATTGTTTAAAACACAGATCACACACAAATATTTTATTGATTTAATTTAATATTTTATTTTCATTTTCAAATAATTATATAATTTTGTAAAACTTATTATTTTTATATATTTTTATTTAATATTTTAATAATAAACTATTTAATTTATGTAGTATTTTGTACAATATATATATATTTTTTTTTTCAATAATTTCAATGTAATTTTAAATTTTATTTCCAAATAATTTCAATTTTTATTTCAATATAAATTTCAATTCCACAATATTTAATAAATCACTATATTTCGTTTATATAATTTGCCGTTACTACAAATTTTCACTTTCACAAACAAGGCTTGAAATTTGAAACCTAACTTTATTTGCATGAATTTTTACTTAAAGTATTTAATTTTTTATTTGTTATTTAATATTTTCATTTCATTTTATTGTATGTTGTTACTATATAACATCCAATATTCCACACACCACACACACACAAACACTGTATTGAACAAGTTTCTTTGTACGGTATTCGGTGCGAAAAGTTCCGATTTCATTGAACTTAGTGGCACGAAGAGCCCACATAGACTAACTAAGAATGTTAGGAACACGCGTTTTGTAACGGTATGCCCGACGATGAAGTAGTGTCAATTTGATATTTTTCCAATGGCTTTTGAACTTCAAACTTGTTTTCGTATGACACCAACATTCAGTTGCAACATCGAACCTATATCCTTCCGTTTCCTTTCGACAAAATACCTCGTGATACACTGACACACATTAAATGCTGTGCTTGTGTGTGTTTACGACTCTTTCACTTTTCTTTATGTTACCAACACTTACACACACACACTGAGAGAGACACACGTAAACTTTCATTACGTAGCTATTTTTTAAAACACGCGCTTCTTTTCTTGTGGAGCTAAACAACAAGCAGCAGATAACCGTTTAGTCGGCATTTTCAACACAAACTGATTTTCCAATTTCCATGTGCTTGTCGTAGTGCTTGCTGGCTGGCGCGGAGCGTTAAGCCCAATGCAAGTTGTGTTTTTACTGGTCAACAAAATGACAACGACGAGTCGTAAGCCCACGAAAAACATCGAACAACAAAAATGTTTTTTTTTTCAGTTTGTGGACCCCATTGCAATTCCCCTTTTGCCATGGTTTTTCATAGAACTTTTCTCAGTTGAGTGTGTGTTGCCCCTTCAAAAAAAAGCTCCGTTCCACATAGCATCCACACAAAGGTAATATTTTTTTTTTGGTCGTATGACTGTCGGTTTCGATAAATGAATTTTAAGTTGACAAAAACATATGTGGGCTGCGGTTGTCTTTTCTGTTGGTGTTGTTGCTGTTTTTGTTGCTTCTTTTAAGGTGGTTTTTGCAAAGCAAAACATTTGGAAATTCTTTATTAAAAGTTCTAGGAAAAAAAAGAACTGTTGCAATGTTGGATCGCACAAAATATTCATGTGGGCTAAAATTTCTAAAAACACAAAATGCAATGTCAAGAATTTTTGCAAAGTTCCAACAAAAAGTTTATAAGAAAATATGAAAATAGTGCGTTTTTCCTTTCCAAGGCATATGCAACAATTAAAGCCGGTATTAAAATAAATAATTTAAGAAATTTACTACGTATTTTATGAAATAAGCGGATGATAAAATGTTCATTCTAAGAAGCAACTTTACTGAAAAATGGGAAATATTTACACATGAGTTTGATGTTAGTTTTCGACCAGTTTACCATTTACTTTCTTTAAAAAGGTCTAAATTAAAATAAATAAAAAAATATTTGAAAAATGCAGTAATGGCTGATTATTTAGCCATATAACTAAGAGTTTATCGTAATAATAGAAAACGGACCATACATATCCTAGTTTAAAGTGCTGTTGGTGTATTGGGTGAAGTTGGTGTTACCCAAATAAATGGTATAAAGAGCTTTTTTTGGAAACCCAATATATGAAGTACCAAATGTTCCCGTGTTACCATGATACGAACTTTAATAGCTGGGATTTGAAAATTTTTAAATTCGAATTTTTTGCTCTCAAGACGTTAAACGCTCACAAATATTAGATTGCTAATTCTAATAAAAATACATATGACGGAAACTTTATCTGTCGCAGAGTGGGGAGCGATTCCCAAAAACAGGGATTATTTCAGGGAAGCATTTTATCGCTCTGAAATTTTGCTCAGACATTTATACTACGCCTAGTATGTTTGGTATTAAAAATGGGACCTATCGATCCACGTTTCGGTAAGGACCGTTATTTCCTGATTTTCGATGTTTTGAATGTTTTGACCACAATTTTAAACCAAATCATGGGTTACTTGACATTTAAAGTACTGAGTAGGTATAATACCTCCATGCTAAATCTTTTCAATATTACGCCCCATATAACCACCTAATCTTCGGTATTTTGAAGGTTTCAGCCATAATTAAAATTGGCAACAATTGGTTTAAAAATCCAATCATGAGTAGCTTGACATTTTGAGTTCTTAGCTGACAAAATCACTCCACGCTAAATTTTGTGAAGATAAATCTACTATTGTGTATGGACCATGTACAACGGCACTTCCAAATTTTAGGTATTTTGATAATTTCTCTCTGCAAAATTTTGTGATGGTAAGTCCACTACTTTATCGGCCTTACAAAATGGTACTTCCTAATTTTATTATATAATTATTTGGATTTTTTTCTCGGTGGATAAAAACTAAAAAAATTGCCAATATAAAACCACCCATAACATAGATCACTTTAAGGCCCAATGGGGTTACATCAAAATCAGAGATAAATTCAGAGGAAGCTTTTCATTGCTCCCATTTTTTTTTCTTTAATGTTCATATCAGCAAAAAAACTAAAATAAGGCAGAAAAAATAATTTATTTTTTGAAATAAGCGGGTTTTTCAAAAAATAAAATCTGAAGAAAAAATACCACATATTTTTATGAGTGAGGAATAATAACAAAAACAATATTTATGTAGAAAATAGGCTGGCAATTAAACCCTCCTATCTGAAACAGATCAAAAACATTATCATTATATTAAAAAAATAAAAAAAATAATCTCATTGTCTTAAATTCTCTCTCATTGTCTTAAATTTGATCATCAGTCAAAAATGAAAGTGAAGCAAGTAACCTCACCAAGGTGTTTTAAGAGATTTAATTATTTGTATATAGTTTAGAATAGGATGAAAACGCAAGAGAAACTTATTTAAAAAGAACAACAAAAACAAAAAAAAAAACAGTAAAGAAAGTCTTATATTCGGGCGGGGCCCACTTTATGATACCCTACACCACTTTGCTAATTTAGTAGAGTTTTTATGGGAAAATTTAATCATACACGCTATGATTATAATTATAAGTTAAAGTTCAAAGGACTAAATATGCCGAAGCATTTTTATCTTTTAAATTCGGACTTTTATTGCCCATTTGGTGCACAATTAATTTGAAATCGGATAAAAATATAAATGGGGCTATATCCAAATCGGAACCGATCTCGATAAAATTTGGCAAAGATATTTCTGAGCTGTATTTGATATATTTACCTGAATATCGTTGCACTCCGTAGCATATTACGGTTGTGGGTAACAAATACAACAAATCGGATGAACAATATATATGGGAGCTATAGCTATATCTGAACCGATCTTCACCAAATTTGGCATACTACCTTCTAGACTCAATTCTCAAACTCAACTCAGAAAGTGATTCTATGCAGATCATCAAAAGAAACTATGGGTCTATATCGTTTCCTTTTGCCTGTTACAAACAAATGCACAAAGACATAATACCCTGACCACCTTGTGGTGTAGGGTATAAACATTTATTCCAAAAGACAAATTTCTGTTTTTCATTCAATCTCCGTTTTTTTTGTGATTTCACATCTCTGTGCGTCGCAGCGATTGGGTTAAACGCCCAAATGCAGAAAATTGTCGCCATGTGACCACGTTTTGATATAAGCATTCTAAATACTTCAGAGGAGAGAATAGTCTTTTCGAATATTTTATTCAAGGACTTCAGGAAAGTATTTATCCCTTACTTGAAAACCAATTGGCACCATTTATTGCACTTTTCTCAATTAAGTACGAATTTTCAAGTCATTATCTCAATTCTATCGTCACACACTGTAATTCTTAAACTAAAATTCATAATCAAAGTCCTATTTCTAAATTTTATACCGAATTTTGTAAAATTTCGTTTTTTTTCGTACATTATAAGAACGCATATCCAAAATCGAGTAGAAATCGCTAAGAAAATCGAGTAGAAATATGACAAAAACAGGAATAAGTTTTATTTATTTTTTTTATACCCTACACCACAAGGTGGACAGGGTATTATGTCTTTGTGCATTTGTTTGTAACAGGCAAAAGGAAACGAAATAGACCCATAGTTCCTTTTGATGATCTGCATCAATCACATTCTGAGTCGACATGTCCGTCCGTCTGTTCATGTATTTTTGTAAACAAAGTACAGGTCGCATTTATTGCCCGATCCAGAAGAAATTTTGCACAGATCATTTGTTTGGCCCAAGGACGAACCCTATTGAAATTGGAGATAATCGGTCAAAATGAAGATATAGCTCTCATATATATCTTCGTCCGATTTGCCTTTTATTGTGCACCAAACGTGTAATATCAGCCCGAATAGTATGGAATTTTGCACATACAACCAAATTAGGCCTGAAAATAAGTATGCCAAATTTGAAATCGGTTCAGACATAGCTATAGCTCCTATATATATTGTTTATCCGATTTGTTATTTTTGTACTCCGCAGCAGTAATATGCACTCTGTAACAACAATATTTGGGAAAATCTATCAAATACAGCTCAGAAATACCTTTGCTAAATTTTATGGAGATCGGTTTAGATTTGGATATAGCTCCCATATATAACTTCGTCCGATTTACCTTTTATTGTGCACCAAACGTCTAATAATTGCCCAAT